TGGGTTGATGGATCTTTAAAAGCATAGTAACTATATAATCAAAAATAACTGAAATATGTGTCTTTACATCTTGTAGATCTTGCTACTGTAGTTGGCTATTTGGTCGTTAGCCGTCCATTTTTAAACTTATCTCATCCTCGTCATCAGAATAGTAGCCACGCAGAACTTCTGGAGGTTGGTAATAAGCTTCAGAGAGAAGTTATAATGGGAAGACATATATTTTGTTAGTTCACTCATGAGCAAACTTGTATATATATTTTTAACTTTCAGGATTACTATCAGAGTGGAAGAATGTTGCTGAGAATGTCTCAAGCTCTTGGCAGGATAGTTTTGGCAGGTCGTGAAATGACACGACTGGCTGGGTAAGGCTGATAGATAATGCATACAATTGCCCATCTTAATAAAATAAGCTATAATTTATCCTCCTTGTCGGCAACCAAAATTTGTTGTCATTTCCAAAATCCAGTCACTTCTCCATTTCTGCGAGGTTACTGCTATTTGATAGCACAATATTCTTCTGAGCTCAGCCTCTTTCAGTCTCTAATTCAGTACAATTGTATTTAAAATAATATTGCAAAAAAACTTAAATACATGACTTTTGTAATATATTAACAAGGCTTAGATGAGCCTTATATATATGGGAGTATGCCCCATTTGGCCCAATGGGGCTTGTGAGTAAATATAGATAGGATTCTGTCATCAGTGGCTCTTTCTTGAGTTGGAGTTTCAGTGCTGCTTATTGAACTCAGTGAAGCAGTTGTATTACCTTATGCCACGTTGAGGAAAGATGTTTTACTACTGTGAGCACAATCGGTTGGGATGCCTGTAACCCTCCAAACCTGCAGTATTATGACCATCCTTTGCAGCATAGGATGAGTATGGGCGTGCCGGTATCTTTGCATTCATCTTGCCCTGCAAAACAGCTCAATAACAGTGTTAGCTATTGTGACCTCTGAAAAATGGCAAGTCCAGTGCTTGCTGTACCATCTACGAGAGTGGATGGCTTCCAGCTCTAACACAGGGCATGTGTGCAAGGTTGAATCTAGTGTTCTGAGTAATTCTATGGCTATCTTGATAGTGTCTAGCTATGCATATATAACTTATCTGTGTTAGTATGCTTTCCGTTTTAGCAAGTTGAAATATTTAATTGTTTTTCTCTGCAACTTTAGTTTTGACTTTACTCTTGTAGTTTCACAGCTCGGATTACAGAATTAATGCAAGTTTTGAAGGAGTTAAACAGTGGCAAATACCAGCGGACCATGTTATCACAAGAAAAGGGTAATTGACAAACTGATACAGACGTTTAATTCACGGGAATGCTTATCTACTTTCTAATGTATGCATCTGTGTTTGTTTTAAATTTAAGATGCAAATCTAGAACAAGTGGTCCCACTGATTCCTGGCGCTGGACGAATTGTCATTGCAGATAACATTATCAAGTATGTAAAGATCCTTGTACCGTATTATGCCTGTCTTCCTGGCCTCAGCACCACATTCCCATACTTCATATTTTATGCATTTATTAATATTTATGTAACATATTTCTCTGAATGTCACCAGGCTGATCTATAACAATTCAAATAAAAATATTTGCAGATGCCTGAAACTGTGGATATTAGCGAACACTACATTTGCAGGGTTCAGGGACACAGGACCCCCACAAAAGTGCAAACCCCACAAAAAATTTTAGGGAAAACCTGCAAATACCTTTTGGGGGAAACTGCGATTATCTCTAGAGTCTTTGTGCCCACTAAGAGACAAAACATGTGAGTCTGGCTAGTACAAAGGCAAAGAGCTTGGTGTTGCCAAACAGAGTGCATAGTTCCCTAGAGAAATTAGTGTTTTTTCTGTGGAGATATTTGTGGTTTTTCCATTTTCATGGGGTCCTGTGCCCCAACCCCTGCAAATGTGGAGGGCCAATGGTCAACCTTGGCTAAGTGGAACTGCAGTAACTGAAACAGTGGATATAGGGGTCCTGCTGTATATGAAGATAGTAAAACTACTACTCATTCTGCAACCAAGGATTGAGGATTGGGAGAAACTTACTTATATAGAGTTCTACTTGAATAGATTTCCTCTCCAGGAGTTGCTATGGATTATTGGGAATGGGTTTATAGGTTCAGCTCTTCTCTGCATCCTTTATTGCTTCATATGAGTAAGACTCTGAAGGGAGACATGTGTAACAAGGGATTTCAGCATTCATTACTAGACAAACAGCAACAAAAATGCTAATCATATAAAAATTGTTTCACTGCAAATTTATCAGGAGTGAACTAGGGATTCAAATAGTGATTGAATTGTTGATTCCTGCAGTTTTCAGACAGGACATTTTGGAAGTCTTTCACTCATAGGGTTGCCATAAGTCAGAGAAGGTTTGGTGGCACGTAACAACAGCAGTTTTCATTCTGCCCAGAAATTCTCAAGCAATATGGGTCTTAGACTGGGATGGCAACAGGAAGTGTTGCAGCATTTTGGTTAAACTTAATTCCTTCTCATCTCAAGTTCTGTTTGCACATTATGGAAGGAAACTACCAAGGAGGAGCAGAGGCTAACCTACTCCTTGAGTGTTACTATTTCCATATTATCTGTTTCTGAGACTTTCATACATTTCCAATTCTCTAATTATAGAACATCATGTTCATTTTACAGTATCTGTTTTATGGTATAGCTGTGTCATGTTTTGTTGTGTAGTAGTAATTCAGTAAGCATATCCTCTTTGTAGTAATCATAGTATGTCCCTTTTCCTTGAAGGTTTGATCACGTTCCACTGGCAACACCGAATGGTGATATCCTACTTAAAGATCTCAACTTTGAGGTAAGTTGTGACATGCATTTCAATACTGAAACAAATTGTTTTGATTCAGTGCCTGCTTGTGAGGAAGAATATTTCCCACCTTGTCCTCCTTACAAGTTTTTCCAGGTTAGGTGACATTCCTACCCAACATGGCCGATGGTGGTGAAGGGGAGCATTGGGAGGGCGAATCATCCAAAACTGGGCAGAATGAAGTGGAGTGAGTGGAGTTCCTCCCAGCTTTGAATGATTCCTTCCCTTGCAAAGTATCCCAGCCTTCTTGTTTCAGAGAGGTATTTCAGAGGAAAGAGAAAACAGAAATAAAAAATGCCACGAGCCGCATTTCCTTCACTCAGACTTTGATCCAAACCATACTATCCAGTAACTATATATGAAATGCAGGCTAGCTCACCTGAAAGTGAGCCACTGTACATGCTGACTGGATTTCCACAAGTACTCTCACTATTGTGACTTGCCACGCATTCTAAACCTGAACAGGGGGCAGCATTCGTCAAATAACCCAATAAGAGTCTATGGTGTTTCAGCTGCTGTCATGTGAACCACATCAACATTTTCACATAGTAAATTTAAGTCAATTTATTCATTGATTTGGGACACAAAAATAGAGAGTGGACTACATGCAAACCTAGCAGCCTCTGTTAGCATGCAGGGTCACAATCCTATTATAACGACTAAGCTTCTAAACTTACTGGTTCACACTCATCCTTCACCTCCCCATCCTCCAGGCCTGCATTTTCATTCAACAACCTTTTTTGTCCATGTAGCAGCAGCATTTCAGAGGGGAGGGGAAGGAGGCTGGAAGGCCTCAGGATAAGCTGTCTTTTCCTGTATCCTCTCTTCCCCACCCATTGGAATGACCCCATTGCCCTCTCTCCAATTTTTTTTCCAAACCTTGGAGAGCAATTAATGCAATTTTTTCCATGCCATCTATTGAGGGGGGCAGCACTCCATTTCCCATTTCTGAGGACAGAACGGTAACTCTGACCTTGAATCTGGGAATCAGAAATATCCTTGTCCCCTCAGATGCTTTTCTGGGCCATAGGATTGCTTCCTTTTATTTTCACAGTATTTAAGCATACACTGCCTTGCCTTACATTCCAGGTACGATCTGGTGCAAATGTTCTGGTTTGCGGGCCAAATGGGTGTGGAAAAAGTTCACTCTTCCGTGTCCTTGGTGAGGTGAGTTAGCACAGGAGAAAGTTCTTTCCATAACAGCAACAACAAGAAAAGTACAACTATTACCTTAATCTCTCTTTTTCTTCTTTCAGTTGTGGCCTCTTTTTGGCGGCTGTCTAACTAAGCCGGAGAGAGGAAAATTATTCTATGTTCCCCAGGTAAAGCAAATCACCAAGCAATTAATATTTCTAGTTTTGATATGCACCAGAACTTCCTAATCCCTTTTAATGTAATTTCAGAGACCATATATGACCCTTGGAACTCTCAGAGACCAAGTAATTTATCCAGATACTGTAGAAGACCAGAGAAGGAAAGGAATCTCTGACCAGGTGACATACTTTTTTTTTTGGCCTTTCCATGTTTTTATAGGTTACCTTTTATAGCAAAATCGGGAAGGGTTAAGTTCACTATAAACTTAAATACAGAAATGATGTGATCTTCAGAAATGGCTGTAACCTCATGGCTTTTGTACTGCCTGTGATTCAGAATAGATATATTAGGTTTCTTCCGAGTAAAGCATATTTGGCTGAAACTAGTTGTTCATGCATTCAATCGTGTTGTAGTTGCAATATTGTTAATTGCCACTAGTTGACACTCTTGGAGTTGTGATCTGCTGTAATGCATGCTGAAGAGGAAAAACATTCAGCTGGCGAATGTGACAGGGCAGCAACTCTGTATATTCTGAGTCCTCATCCTGCATCAGGGATGCAATGTTAAACAGAAAAATACATGTTTCCCTGACTCTGCAAGGCAGATCACAAGCACTGGCGGCAGATACAGAATTGTCTGGCTGGTTCTTCATTCTGACTGCCATCCTTAACATCTATGCATATCTAAGTGGTTTGTTGTTTTACAACCAGTTGTTTGATTATGCTTAATCTCATGAGCTGCTATAAACAGCAATTTGGCCAGCAATTTGGAATTCTGCACCAGTATAAGGGTCTATTTGTAAAAGCTAAGTCTGAAAATTTATTCTAAATGCATTTCGACTTTGCCAGTTTTCCAGGGTGGGTATCCATTGCATCCACGTGGCAAACTTGGCAGGCACCTGTGAGGATATCTGCAGGAAAAAGAAGCCAGATTATAAATTTCCTGTCTCAGCAGTTGCTAGTGCTAAACATAAGGTGCATGGGTGGGATGGGGCAAGTCCCCAGCTTACATAAATTGTTTCCGTCTTCGGCACTTTTGACAAATGAATTTCTACCTGTTGCCTGACCTGTTGGTGGCATAGTGATTGCTGCTGCTAATCACAGAACCATAAAACTACAGAATTGGAAGGGGCCTGTGAGCCCATCAACTGCAATTTCCTGCTCTCTTAGTGCACCAACCCATAACTACACTTTACATTTCCTGGTTTCTGCTTTTATTTATAAAGGGAAGACAAGAAACAGTCTCATTGCCAGTTGTTGTTTCTCTAATTCGGGAGGCCAAGCTCAATAATGGTAGTTATCATTGCTGCCTGTCTCTGCTCAAGACCAAAAGGCAGGGGAGCAAACTGAAAGCCATAGAAGCGCAACACAAGTGGGATTGACTCTTATCAGGGAGGGGAAAGTGGTGGTTGGCTTTCCTCTTGGTAATGGATTAGGGTGGTGAACTACTTCCAGTAGCTGTTTGTTTTTGCTTGTGGAACAGCATAACTTACATCAGCTTTCAGTGCCATGGATAGAAGTCAAAATACTCACTTCTGTGAGTATTACTGTGTCTTGGTATTGCTTGTTACTGTGGTTACATGAGAAACAGTTCATGCTGAACTAAACCCTACTACGCACCTTTGGAGTGGGATATTACTTAAACTAGAAGTCTTTAAGTAACCAAGAAGTCATTAAAATGTTTGTTTATCTTATTTACAAAGTTATATACCACTCCATATTCCTGTCGGAGGTTGTTGGAGTAATGAATAATAAAGGATGAAACAAACACAATAATAAAAAAGCATGCTAAAAACAAGATCATTATAAGTGTATCCATATAACCATGGCTGGTTAGATTGGGAGGGCTTCTTGAACAAAAGGCTCAGAAAACAATAAAGTGATGGTGCTTGCCTGACTGGTAGGCTCTTCTCTGGGTGGATTTCAAATGGGCCAGGACAGGCCCTCTGATGACCTTGGGAACTGGGCAGCTTTGTAAGTGTGAAGCACTCACACCGGTATCCTGGTGTTGATCTATAGTTGCTCACTGCTTTGCTTGCAGGTGCTAAAGGAGTATTTAGATAATGTTCAGCTGGGGCCGATCCTTGAACGTGAAGGAGGCTGGGACAGTGTTCAAGACTGGATGGATGTTCTCAGTGGAGGAGAGAAACAGAGGATGGCGGTATGTGGTCTTCAAAGTCATTTCTAAATACCCTGAGGATAGACATAACGCTGTTGTGCAGTACTTAAATATAAGCAAAATGTTCAAAATGCTGCTATTGAGAACATTAAAGCGTGGGGCGGGGGGGAGTGAACTCATGCCTTACAGCTTTTTTTAAAGCTTTTTAAAAAGCATTTTTAAGCCTGAGAAGCTGTCTCACAGCAAATTATTTAAGGTGCCATCCTTTGAAAATTCAGATGGGAGAAAGACCTACAACTCCGAACTGGCATGCTGGGAATTTTAGGCCTTTTTTCTGGCTAAACTTGTGTAGGATTGCACTCTCATGAGAGTCTGATCGGTGACAGCTCTCCAGGGTCTGAGCAACTGAAAATCTGAAAATATTCTACACATAAATACTGTTAAAAGTACTGCTTTACTCCAGGGTTTCCTAGAATGCCTCATACAAGGATATGGACACTGATGTCCTCTTTAGAACACAATGACCATGAGATGAAATAAGATTCACATTACAGTAGCATAATTTGAATATTTCTTACATAATATGAATCATTTATGTGAACAATTTAAATTATTTTGTGTATGTGAAAGTCAGTGTAGGGTTGAAAAAGTCTTTACGAGCAGTGTGCCATGGTACCATGTGTTAGGCTATTTAACATTTGCTTTTGCTTTGCAGATGGCCAGGCTGTTTTACCATAAACCCCAGTTTGCAATTCTGGATGAATGTACCAGTGCCGTTAGCGTTGACGTAGAAGGTTATATCTATAGCCACTGCCGTAAGGTACGTATACCCGTGCTTGTTTTGCTGTTCAAAGCCCATTTCCTTTTACATTGTTCTAACTTTGGAAAGCAATGTGCACTTATATGCTACAGTACTAATCTTGTGTTTATGTATCTACATTGAGGAAGGCAGAATAAAGTACAGGCAACGTAAACCGTGCCCACAGTAAGAGAGAGACAGGATTGTCAGAGCAGTTCCCTTTTGCTTTCTGTAGGATGCTTGCAGGTACCTTCCTCTCCTCCTGGAAGGTTCTTCATTCCTGCAGAAACTTCCATGAATAGAGCTGGGGTGGGAGAGAAGAGTGCAGATTCTTCTTCCCTGTGCATACCCCTTCGGCTGTTCCTCATCCCAAGGGTTAGGCACTCTTTGAAGCAATGCAGGAGGTCTTGTAGTGACGGGAAGATGAATAGGGAGTTTGCAAAATCCCCTCCCTCCTCTCTTCTGGGACAAAGATCCTTTTGTGACTGGAGAGACACAGCTGGGTATGACTTTTTAATATATGTCTATGCATTGGCTACAGGTTCAAATTTTATATACACCCCTCACATTTTGTAAATATTTTATTATATCTTTTCACGTGA